TGTCTCTTCTAAAAATACAGAAATTAGCTAGGAGGTAGTGGCAGGAGTCTATAATCCCAGCTCCCTGGGAGGTCTGAGGAGGAGAGTAGTATAGTGAGTAGCACACAGCATCCTTCTCAAAGGCTAACAGTAGACACTATGTGTTGTTTGGTTAGGTTGTGTTTAAGTGCTGGGGGTACTGGAAATGCCTGCTAAGCTAGGCTCTCAGCATGGAACTCTAGGTTCCTTGATTGGGGAGAGGAACCAATTATTTCATTTTCATAACTTTTCATGATCAAACAATACATATTACTTATGGAATATAAAACGTGTAGAAGAGTAAATAGAAGATAGGAGATTAATTGGCATATTAATATGTAGTATACACACTTCCTGCAGAAAATGGGATATGTAGAAGAGTAAACGGAAGACAGTAAAAGTTGCCCGTCTTCCAGAGATAACTTCTGTTGAAGCTTTGACGTATTTTTTTCTGGCACTTTTTCTTTATCTTTCTGGCCTCTGGATAGCTGAGGTTATACCACCCACTTAACTCTTTATCCTCTATTTATAGCTAACATAAATGATTTCCTATTTTGTTAAAATTAATCAAAAATATAATATTAAGGCCGGGCGCGGTGGCTCAGGCCTGTAATCCCAGCACTTTGGGAGGCCGAGGCGGGTGGATCACGAGGTCAACAGATCAAGACCATCCTGGTCAACGTGGTGAAACCCCGTCTCTACTAAAAATACAAAAATTAGCTGGGCGTGGTGGCGCGTGCCTGTAGTCCCAGCTACTCGGGAGGCTGAGGCAGGGGAATTGCCTGAACCCAGGAGGTGGAGGTTGCGGTGAGCCGAGATCGCGCCATTGCACTCCAGCTTGGGTAACAAGAGCTAAACTCCGTCTCAAAAAAAAAAAAAAAAAAAAAAAATAAAAAAATATATATATATATATATAAAGATAATATTAATGGGTTCACTAATATTTTATTATAGAATACAATTTATTAAAGTGTCCTCCTTTTCTTAGGCAAAATTAGCATTTTATTGTGTGCTTACTGATACTAGCATTTTATTGTGTGTCAGATATTTTACATGTTTTTATAATAATTCTGTGAAGGTGGGCCGGGCGCGGTGGCTCACGCCTGTAATCCCAGCACTTTGGGAGGCCAAGGCGAGTGGATGACGAGGTCAAGAGATCAAGACCATCCCGGTCAACATGGTGAAACCCGTCTCTATTAAAAATACAAAAAATTATCTGGGCATGGTGGTGCATGCCTGTAATCCCAGCTACTCAGGAGGCTGAGGCAGGAGAATTGCCTGAACCCAGGAGGTGGAGGTTGCGGTGAGCTGAGATCATGCCATTGCTCTCCAGCCTGGGTAACAAGAGTGAAACTCCATCTCCAAATAATAATAATAATAATAATTCTGTGAAGTTTGTATCTCCATTTAGCCATTGAGAAAACTGAGGTTCAGGAAAGTTTGGAAAACTAATTGAGGCAACATACCTCATAAAAGTAATCAGGTCTCATAAGTTGACATTAGGTCTCAAATTAGAAATTAGGACCCAGGCTTCTCTTCTACCAGATGCTGCCTTTCAGCTTTTATTTATTTGGGGGTAGCTAAGAATAAACAGCGCTGGTTCTTAGCAAAATCTGGAAGTTTGTCTTCTCCTATACCCAATATTCTCCTAAGCCATTTTCCTTGCCACATTTTCTCATCAAACCACATTTTTTAGTTCCTCCCTTCCTTGGCTCACAAAGAATCCAAATACTGAGGGAGGGGAAAGAGGTCAGTGGTTGCACTAAATTCATTCTCATCAGGTCATCTTCCTTCCTACCTTCCTTTTTTTTGAGACAGAGTCTTGCTCTATTGCCCAGGCTGGAGTGCAGTGGTGCGATCTCAGCTTACTGCAACCTCCACAGCTTTCCAGGTTCAAGTGATTCTCCTCACTCAGCCTCCTGAGTAGCTGGGATTACAGGTGGCTGCCACCATGCCCGGCTAATTTTTTTTTTTGTATTTTTAGTAGAGACGAGGTTTCACCATGTTGGTCAGGCTGGTCTCAAACTCCTGACCTCGTGATCTGCCTGCCTCAGCTTCCCAAAGTGCTGGGATTACAGGCATGAGCCACTGTACCTGGCCGGGTCATCTTCCTTTCTCCTGGCATCAGCTTAGGTCTCTGCATCTAGTCCCTGAGTGTTCTCTTGTTGGACTCATCTCATAAATGTAGAAAAGGCTCGGAGAGCCCAGGGTTTTTGAAAACTGAGGATATATATTTCTGCCAATTGTGTATGTATGACACTAAAATAGGGAGAGAGAAAGCCTAAATCACATTTAGTATCAGCAAAAACTGTCCACACTAGGGTGATTGTAGACTTGAAGAATTATCAAAGAGAAAAGAAATAAGTACCTAACAATCTGGCTTGGTTATTTAAAGTAAAAGTAGTGTCACTTGGATAGATTTATATAAATTTTTATGGAGCAGTGTAATTGTACATATTAAATACATGCCAGATTTATTTGCTCTAACAGTCAACAACACTGTCTGATTTCGTCTTATAAAAAAATCAGGACACTTGGCTTGCATCTTGTAACCTTGGCATATTAAGGAGGGCAATACTCTGAGTATAAAACAGAATACTGAATGTGGTCCTGGGAATCTGGGGATACAGACATATATTTGCCAGCAGTGTGATCTGAGGTAACTTTCCTTCCTAAGAGACTTAGTATTCTCACCTACAAAATGGCAATGTGCTTCTAGCATCAAGGGTTCTTGGCTGAGATCATGAGTCAAAGATGTGCTCCTCCATTATGACTGCTGCAGAGAATGGAACTTCACACATTGTAGGTGGTCCACATTCAGGCAGTCTGGGATGAATATTTTCAGAGCTCCCTGTGAGTCAGGCACTGTACTTGGTGCAATGGATTTGGTGATGAGTGATACTGGAAGGCTCTCTGTTCTTGGGGAACTTACATTCTGAAGGAGGAAGATGGATAGATAGAACTTACTGATACCAACCAGATGACAGAGAAATTAGTACAGCTCTATGTTAAAAGTCCATATAGTACATAAATCATTCAGAGCAACATGAAAGAGAAGTACCTTAATGACAAAATTTAAAAAGATGGCTCACACACCTGCCATCCATCTCGGATTTTCTGATTGAAGATTCCATATTCATACCGGATGCCATATCCATAGGCTGCTAGTCCCAGGGTTGCCATGGAATCCAAGAAGCAGGCTACATTCCACAGAGCACAGGCAAAAGATAGAGTCATTAAGCCAAGCCAAAATTTCCAATCTTTCCCTAAAACACATGGCAGCCACAAAACATTGCTACATGAAGAACCAAATTTGTATTCTAAAGCACAGATACTACTGCACAATAGATATTGATTTTTTAAAATAACTTTCTAATTATAAAATTAATACTATAGAAAAGTTAGAAAATGCAAAAATATATAAAGAAGAAAATAAAGTGTACATTTTGTTTGAGAACAGATAAGGAAGCCAATCTGCACAAGATATGTCGATTATTATCCCCACATTACCTTTTCTTCTTTTTTTTTTTTTTTTTTTTTCTGGCAAGGATTCCAATAGTTTGTTGAATAGGAGCAGTGAGAAGGGACATTCTTATCTTGTTAATGCAATGAGCATTTCCTTTGTTAACACCTAAAAATTCATATATTTGCAGGGGTTTAGTTCATTTCTATTCTTTTTATTTTTTTTTTTTNTCTGTCACCAGGCTGGAGTGCAGTGGCATGATCTTGGCTCACTGTAACCTCCACCTCCCAGGTTCAAGCAATTCTCCTGCCTCAGCCTCCCAAGTAGCTGGGACTACAGGTGTGCACCATCATGCCCAGCTAATTTTTGTATATTTAGGAGAGACGGGGTTTCACTATGTTGGCCAGGATGGTCTCGATCTATGGACCTCATGATCTGCCCACCTCAGCCTCCAAAAGTGCTGGGATTACAGTCATAATCCCTCCGAAAGTGCTGGGATTACAGTGCTCAGCCTCCACAGTACCTTTTCTAAGGGAAACTCTCCATCATCCCCATGGACTCACCCCACTGGAAAAGACAGGCCCAGGAGAGTATAACTTATATATTCTGTTTATAAGTTATAAGAGTATAAATTGTATATTCTGTTTCCTTCCAGCACCTGACTGACAAGATAATCTGTGGCCAGCTCTGTTTCTTCCTGGCTAATGGAATGCCACTGTTGTTCAGATATTAGGTGATCATATGCTTCAGCGAGGCTGAACCAGGAAGTGAATCTTGCTTGATTGGTCTGATCTGCTAAGCCAGTCACAGCCATTGTATTTCCTTCTCCAGTGATTGATTGGTTTTGGCATGCTCATACAATGACATTCAATCAGATAAGAAGTGCTAGAAAGTCTGTTGGATGTACTGTAGTATACTTCTGGGAAAGATTTTCCTTGCTGCCACTATCTTCTTTCCATGAGGGGAAAGACAAAAGGACTAGAGACCTGGAGTCCTGCCGTAATCCTGCTGCTGAATAAACCAGTCTTGGAATGGCCTAAACTCTGGAGTTCTTGTTCTGTGGTAACATATGTCATTGGCTGAACCATTTTTGCTAAGTTTTTCTGTTACTTGATGACAGGGCCTCTGATCCAGAACAGCCAACCCACAGGCTGGGTAAGGATCTGCCTTGTAGCTGGGTGCAAACTAAGGGGTTACACTAATCAGATTGTCCCTCCCAGGAATTTAAGCTGAGACATATACAGAGAATGAGGAAGTACACAGGAGGAATTAAAACTGACAAGAATGTTGAAAGCTGTAGCTCAAAACAGAAAGGGACTGAATTAGATTGGCAGTACAGCCTTTAAAACAGAGATCCACAAACACAAATGGCCTAGGCTTTTGAGTTTTCCTAACATCACCAATCCGGGTGCTCACAGGGCCTGGTTCCCTCCCATTCCTGTTCTCTCTTGTGGCTCTAAGGCTTTTCCTGAGTCCTGATCAGATTATCCTTAGAGGGGGTCCCAACTTAGATGAGATCATCTAATGAGAATTCTCAGCTTCATCAGCCACTTCACTGCGACTTCATTAGTCAAATCAAGGAGCTATGTCATGAATGTCAGGCACAGAGTTAATCCAGTCAACAAAGATTGAGGTCTGGGGCTTCACATAAAAGGAAGGCAGGCTGGTTCTTATTGTTAGATGTGTACTCCATCAGCGCTGCTGGCCTTCCTGCAGCCCCACAGAAAGCCTACTAAATTGTCTGATAATTAACTTCACAGGAAGGTGGCAAGTATCCCACAGGCAGTGTTTTATTTTGTTTTGTTCATTATTAATGGCAATGTTAAAGCACACTGTGACTAAGGATGAAAAAATGAAACAGATGCAAATGGCTTTCTAGTAACTCGAGTGTATGCAAAACAAGAAGATTTTTGAACAATTTCTAAAAGAGAGGAGATAATTATTTTTCATAGAATACAACCTGATACATGTGTGGTAGTACACTTTTAATATTAAATTTAAATTCCACAGATAATAACGCATCTTCCTTAAAAAAATTAAACTGTTACAGACAAAAAAAAATTATTATGCTAGCATCCTCTTTGATCACAACCCCAATTCTGTACTCCTCCCTACAGGGGGTCATAGGGAACAGTTTAGTATTTAGAATTCCAGACCCTTTTTTCTACATGTTCACATTATATACATATGTACATACACACATATATATACACACACATTAATAGAGCTGGTATTATATTTTTAGTGCTTTCCTACATATTTGCTGAAAAATAATTCCCTGAAAAAAGCAAAGAACTCAAATTGTATCCATAAACAAAAAGGACATTAATTAACAAAACCATACCAATCATATTAGTGTATCATTGCCCACTAGTCAATCAAAAATCAAGCAGTCAAGTGCACAAGGCAAGACAATGGTTGACCAACTACGGTCATGCCTCTGACCTGGAGTCTATCACTGAAAAAATAAAATAAAACAAAACAACACAACAGCAACTTAACTTAGGGCATGCCACACAAGGATGTGAATTGAGAAGCTTTGAACAAATAACAGTGAAGTAAAGGGGCTACTTTGGAAACGCTTAAGCACATAGGAAGGATCTGGTTAACTGGGGTTTAAGCAGTGTCTCTTTTGTTCAAGTTCTCTTCTCTACTGTTTGTCTAGAATTGACCAAACCAAAGTACAAACTCAAGTACAAATACAACCGGATCATATCTTGCAGTTCTTCTAGGAAGACTGCCTGGTTCTTCCATGCATGCTCATGCATGGCATCTGAGATGTCTTCAATCGGCCAGACAATATAACACACTCACAATATCACTTACCAGCAAGCCTCCCAAGACCACCATTGCCAAGTCCAGCATCTTCTTCAATTTCTTCTAACTCTTCTATGTCCAATCCAAGCTGGTAACGAAGGGAAAACAATATTGGAAGCAGATACAAATACAGGCCATTCAGAAGGGAAGCCGTTCCCTACAGCTCTGGGTAAAGATATTCATTTACCAGGTACCTTTACCCAGAGCTGCACATTTTACTCTTTATCTAGCGTCAGCTCCCTTGCAGCTTGTTCTGGCAATAGATACCGACTGCAGAGGCAAACTGTATGAGGTGGTGCAGCTGCAGCATGGAGAAGAGTGTGGGCTCTAAAAGTCCATTATTGACTCTGTTACTTCCTATATGACCCGGGCAAGTTACTAACTCTATCCCACAATTTTCCTATTTAAAAAATGTGGAGGCTAACAGTACCTACCTCATTGATGACTGCCATGAATTAAATGAGATTATATAAACAAAGCATTTAGAACTATTCTTGGGCAGATATCCCTCAATAAATGTTAGCTATTATCATTAAAAAATTTTTGTGAGTGTGTGTAACTATAGGGTTAAAATCTCAGAAACAGTCCAGTATCAAGCTGATATTAATTGGACTGAGGGATTTTGAAAATGACCAAAAGGTCTGAGGTCAGATGTTCTGGAATGGACTAAAGTTCATCTTTTCATGACCACAGCATATTTACTCAGTAGGGTCAAAAGTTGTTAACCCAAAATCAGTTAGTAAGTCACTGTCCCAGAGACCTGGGGGCTGACAGCAGGCAGGGAAAGTGCAGTCCTGCAATCCAGCTGGATGGGGTAAAATCCTTTGCCTTTCCATGGGGTGGATAAGAGGCTGTGAGAAGCCAAGCAGCATCTGTGAACTTAGGCACGGATGGGACTGATTGACAGCCAGCTCCCTGCCCCAAAATGTTGGGGATCACACAGCAGAGTCCACCAGCACCACTGTGCACTCATGATACAGCTCTGCAGCCCTAGAGACCACACTGGATTGCTCATTTTACAACGAGAGAATTACTGGTCAGACAAATGACTTGTTCCATGTTGACTAGATGCTAATCTAGCCCAGGCATGGCTAAAGGTGGCCTGTTGTGAAACAGCTGGCTTCTCATCTGAAAGTTAGGCAACCCATGTAACTGGGTATTTTTTTAAATGGAAAAATAATTTGCACATTTGAAAACATATGTGGAAGATATACCAATGCTTGAAGGTGTGCCCCAGTTTCCGTGGAACCGGGATTCCTACCTTTATACCAAAAGTTGCTTTCTCACACAGGTCTTGACAACTATATCTTCAATCATGGTTATGTTCTGTTCAACCATGGTTATGCTTCCATTCAGTGTTAAAGGGGCTTTCAAATTTGCTCTCTGCAGATTAGAGCTTACTAGGGTCCTTGTGTAAGCCAACTGCCGGTGCTAACACTCAAAATTTTTAAATTCTAAAAATGTAAGTCTAAAGTATGATATAAATTTTGAGCAAGTAGACATAACATGCCCCCCTTGGAGTAGCCTATAGCCAGGTGGGATCATGCCATCCTGCCTGGCTACAGGCTACTCCAAGGGAGGGGTGTTATTTTTAGCTGCTATTAGGGGAAGGAGAGGGAAGGGAGATGGTGAGGACCTGCAGGGGTTCTTTCACAGGAAATGCTCCACCTAACCTACATGAAGGACACATGAGGGGACAATCCCATGGTAAAGGAAAGGGACAGTCTGAACAGTCTCTGATTTAGAATTTGTCTGCAAATACACATTTCTTCTTTCAACCACACCAGAAAAGTTAAGGACTATTTGTTTTGTGTATGAAGGTACCTGAAGCTCAGGAAAGTAAAGTTAAATATATTCATGAAAACAACTTAGTAGATTAGGGTTAAGACTTCAAGCTCCTCCTTTAAGGAGGAAGTGTATCTTACATCTCATTAAGCAACAGAGAAAGTATGACAACAGAATTTTTAAAGCTGATCATTTTCACAAATTGCATTGATACATAAATAACAGTCAAAGTTTGATCATTTCTTAAAAGTGAGATAGAAGCCCAAAGTAAAGCTTGTGAGATTCTGACAGCAGAAGACTCAAGTACTTTTAAAAGACTTGTTCAGACATTAATTTCTGAAACGTAATTTGTGGGGAATGCTGTCAAAGACTTGGATTGCAAAAGAAAATTCTCATGAGTCATAATGAGTTCGTTAACTTCTTTTTCTGGTTGTTTCTCTTAAACAAGAGATTACCAGTAATGTATATTTCTAAAAGTTTGTAATAGCCACAACTATAGAGGTGATTTTTCACTCTCATTTTACTTTGTGTGTGTGTGTGCAATGTCCCCAAGTTTCCTGAAGTGCATGTGAAATTTAAAGAGACAAGATGAGAGAAATCTAGGAACAATGTACCTGGTAAATGGCCTCATCACAGGCATTTTGCAGACCGAGGTTGATCATGGTGTTCTGTAATGTTCGACCCATGTAAAATTCCAAAGAGAGGTAATAAACCCTCTGAAATAAAGAAAAGAGAGACAATGTTTCCTCTAAGACGTCAACCTTACCTAACATAAAAATACAAGGTCATGTGTTAGGCCACCAATAAGAAACAAATAAGCAGGACTATGTTACCACAGCTTCAGATGAGACTCCTGTCAGAGGTGTTTGAACCAGAGCAACTCCATCTTGAATAGGAGCTGGGTAAAATAAAGGCTGAGACCTACTGGGCTGCATTCTCAGGAGGTTTGGCATTCTAAGTCACAAGAAGAAACAGGAGGTTGGCACAAGATACAGGCACAAAAGCCTTGCTGATAAAAGGCTTTCTTTGCCTCCTTTTTAATGATGTCAAATCAGTACGGATGTAAGATATTTTAAAATATTACAAAATATTTCTTAAATATTTCTCTCTTGGCAAAGAAGCCAGCCAAAACCCACTAAAACGAAGATGGCAATGAAAGTGACCTCTGATTATCCTCACTACTCATTATACACTAATTATAATGCATTAGCATGCTAGAAAACACTCCCACCAGTGCCATGACAGTTTAAAAATGCCATGGCAATGTCAAGAAGTTACCCCATGTGGGTCTAAAAGGGGGAGAAACCCTCAGTTCCAGGAATTGCCCACCCCTTTCCCAAAAAACTCATGAATAATCCACCCCTTGTTTAGCATATAATCAATAAATAACCATAAAAATAGCCATCCAGCAGCCCTCAGGGTTATCCTACCTATGGAATAGCCATTCTTGATTCCTTTACTTTCTTAATCAACTTGCTTTCACTTTATGGATTTGCCTCAATTCTTGTATGAGACTCAAGAACCCTCTCTTGGGATCTCGGATAGGGACCCCTTTCCAGTAATATTCCTATAGAGATGTATGACGGACTAAATACAAGTGTTACTGACAACAGGCTTTGGCAAAGCACTATTTTTGGCAAAGTAATTCAGTATCTTTTACCCCCCAGGGAGAAAAAAAGGAACTCATCTAACTAACTAGATTCAGTGTTTTGTGTTTTTTCCCCCTCCTGTTCATGAACCTCATGAATAAACCATAGGTTTTCGACAGACAGGAGTCAGACTGCCATAGCTCACCATTCATTAATAAAGTATTTACATAGGGCACCTCTATGGGTGCCGGTAAGGTGGGTTGGCTGTGACTATCTCAAGTCATTCAAGAAATGCAAAGATGAACTCACACATACCCCAGGGGTTAGAAAATATTCCTCCTTGACTGATTACTGTAAGAAAATTTGCAATTTATTTTATTTTATTATTTATTTATTTTTTGAGACAGAGCCTCCCTCTGTTGCCCAGGATGGAGTGCAGTGGCACGATCTCGGCTCACTGCAACCTCTGCCTCCCGGGCTCAAGCAATTCTCCCAGCCTCAGCCTCCTGAGAAGCTGGGACTATAGGCACTCACTACTATGCCCGGCTAATTTTTGTATTTTTAGTAGAGATGGGGTTTCTCCATGTTGGCCAGGCTGGTCTTGAACTCCTGACCTCAGGTGATCTGCCCGCCTCAGCCTGAGATTACAGGCATGAGCCAAGTGCCTGGCTTACAATAAATTTTAAAATAAAAATTTTCTATAAGGTCTATTTCCTGCAAGTTCCTTCTGAACAAGAAAACTACCTTAGGTTTATTGGTGTTTTGTTCTTATTGAAATTGGAAATTTCTCTATTGACTTAGACATTATTTGCCTTTGACATGGTAAAAGTCAGGTAAATATCATCAGAGTTGAAGGTGAGAGGTACGAAGGTCAGACTTACCAAAAACCTTTTTTATATACAAGCACAGTTCACTAATTAAAAAAATAAAATAGAACCAGTGAGTAACTTCATCATCCCCTATTACAATATCTTGCTCTCCGTATCAGTTATCCTCTGCTTTTCTAATAGACACAAAACAAAACAGCAAAAATCTGTAAATGCACCAATATAGTTACCTCAAGTTTTAGGGATTGCCCCATTTCCATAAAATAAGAAGTAAAAAAGAAAACAAAGAGTATTTGGCCAATGAGAAAAAAAATAGTGAATAGAATTCAGTTCAATAAATGCCTATTATCCTATTTAACATATTAGTTACACATAAATATTTAAAACAAAATATTATTTGAAAATGTCAACTTAGAAGTTTCATTCTTTCCCATTCTCCTTTTATGAACAATTGAATTCTAAATTTCACAAGAAATAGTCAACATCCATGTCCTAATGGGCCACCTAACACTGCTTTCCAGAACACGTCATCTTTGTTTTCATCCAAGTTGTTTGAATGTCTATAATGCTGTTACTAGAATGCTCACCAGCTATCAGATGCCTTCATATAATTGAATAAAAGTACCTTTTCCGGGGCAGACATAGGCAATGGCTGGTGCTCTAGTGGGTGATGACTGCTGTCACAGGAAATAGTATCTTAAGCCACAAATACCCATTTGCATAATATTAGCCACTTCAAAAAATTCTTCCCTGTGTGTATTTTCATTATCTCTCTAACAATGATGTTTTGCCCTTTTAACTAATCTATAGGAAGTTTGTTTATATAGTATATATTCAACACTTACAATTGTGAGGGCATACCCCCAGGAATAATGACTACATCTGTATTAAATTTGCCTCCCTTTTAATGATTCCACATTAGCACAGACTGAAGTCTTCTTAAAAGCATTTCCAGCCGGGCATGGTGGCTCACGCCTGTAATCCCAGCACTTTGGGAGGCTGAGGCAGGCGGATCACGAGGTCAGGAGTTAGAGACCAGCCTGGTCAGCATGGTGAAACCCCATCTCTACTAAAAATACAAAAATTAGCTGGGCGTGGTGGCGGGCACCTGTAACCCCAGCTACTCGGGAGGCTGAGGCCGGAGAATCGCTTGAACCTGGGAGGCGGAGGTTGCAGTGAGCTGAGACCGCGCCATTGCACTCCAGCCTGGGTGACAGAGCGAGACTCTATCTCAAAAAACAAACAAACAAAAAAAAGCATTTCAAAGTCTTTCTTAAGAAATATGTGGTTGCTCAAAATAAAGGAAATGAGAAAATATTTCCTGGCATGACAGACTTTATAAGGACAGGAATTTAAGGTGATTCCCTATTTTCTCATAAATAATTTTTTAGAGGTAATCTCTCCTTATATTTGGGAATATATAAGACCTCAAAAAATAGATCTTTGCCATCCTCTTACTTAATGATCTCCGAACATTTGTTACAGGCGCCTAATAGTAAAATATATGAGCATCTCCAATATACCTTATAAATTATATGCATGTATTATGATTACTAGTATTTTATGTGTGTTATGCAAAAAGTGGACATTTTCAAAAGGCTTGTAAAATAAAGAAGATATAACAAATATTTTTAAAATGTGTGTCTTATTTTTATCCCCAGCGTGAGTCAGAGGGCCTGGGTACTTCTGGGGGGCCCTCTCTGGAACACCTGTTAATCAACCAGAGACTTGAAGGACAGGGGAAAGCTGAGCATAGACATGTGGTAGGAAGGACACTGCAAGGGAGCAAGGGCCCAGGTGGGGATTGGTTTGTTGAGAGAGCAAGGTGGGTACAGAAGGTAATGGAAAATAACAAGGGAAGAACAGGCCCCACCTGGACTGAGAAGGGCTTTTACACGATTGCTTAAGGACTATGGCAGGCAAGAGGAGCCAATGATAACTGAGTAGGGGGCAAGATGTGTTGCTTTAGGAAGCGTAAGCAGACTACAATGCACAGAGTAAGATGGGATTGTATACTCAAATGCCTTCAGGATCTACGCAGAGAAAATACATGTGTAATTGAGGTCACAAAGAAGAGTACTGGGCTAAGAAATGGAGCGTGCAAGTACTGCCCACAGGTGCTAAAAACTAAACTCCTGAAAAATATCTTGGCCAACAAAATATGTCTGCTATCCTTATTCACCCTTAGGTCACCAGTTTTACTGCTTCTGGATAGCAAAATAATCACCAGGAGTCTGCTGCAACAAATGGGTAGCTAGAGCGTTACCAAGGTAGGAAGTGAGAATGAAGGACAGCAGGTCATTCAAGGTAACCTATAGAAATCAACAGAAATTGGCAAACAGTTGAATGGCAAAAAGTTACACTAAAGTTTGTGTCTCAATTGTCAAAATGGCAATTGCATTAAAATGAAAAACACAGAGGCCAGGCACGGTGGCTCATGCCTGTAATTCCAGCATTTTGGGAGGCCAAGGCGGGTGAATCATGTGGTCAGGAGTTCGAGACTAGCCTGGCCAACATGGTGACACCCGTCTCTACTAAAAGTAGAAAAATTAGGTGGACATGGTGGTATGTGCCTGTAATCCCAGCTACCTGGGAGTCTGAAGCAGGAGAATCGCTTGAACCTGGGAGGTGGAGGTTATAGTGAGCCAGATCACGCCACTGCACTCCAGCCTGGGCAATAGAGCAAGACTCCATCTGGTAACACACACGCATACACGCACAACAAAAATGCAGAAGACGGGGCAGGATTGAAGAAATAATGGTTTGAGTTTTTAACATGCTGAGTTTGAAGAAATGGGAAGGTATCCAGGTATGTTCACTAAACACTTAGAAATGTAGGCATGGAGTTTGAAAAGGAATTCAGACGAGGGATCCATATTTGGGATTCACCTGCACAGTTATTAGAGAGGGAAGGAGGTGGGCAAGGAGCTTGGACACACCTGCCAGCTCTACTTTACAAGGGCAGGAACAATCCGTTTAGACAGACAACTGTGATGGAGGAGATATTTGATGAACACGTGGAATGAAACATGTTCATTGTTATATCTCCCGTGTATTGCTATCAGAATACCTGGTTTATACACTGTCACAATTCCTGGCTTGTACCTGCACTCATGTAGAGAAGAAGAGCCCAGTGAAGAAACTGGCCAGAGAACCAGGAAAACCGTAAAGTACAGGATAAGCCACTGAAGGAAAAACATACAAGACTCTCTGGTGCTCTATGATGCTAAATGCTATAGAAGTGTGTCTTTCTAATATATGCTGTGTGCCACCCTTCCGCTTAAAGTTGTCAACAATAATTTTTAGTGAGACATGCAGTATGGTGTACTTAGTAGCATTCCCTTTGTGTAAATAAATTTTTAAAAGATACTGGCCAGATGTGGTGGCTCACACCTGTAATTCCAGCACTTTGGGAGCCCAAGGCGGGAGGATCACTTGAGGCCTGGAGTTTGAGAGCAGCCTGGCCAACATGGTGAAACCTCCTCTCTACTAAAAATACAAAATTAGCCAGGTGTAGTGGTGGGGGCCTGTAATACCAGCTGCTCAGGAGGCTGAAGCAGGAGAGTTGCGTGAACCCTGGAGGCGAAGGATGCAGTGAGCCAAGATCAGGCCACTGCACTCCTGGGCAAGTGAGTGAGACTATCGCAAACAAAGCAACAAGCACAGTAAATATACGTATGCATAGAGTTTTCTAAGGATACATTTAAATTGTTCGGATACATTTTAGCAGCTGCTACCTTGGTAGAGGCCTAAGTCTTTGGGGTGAAGAAGAGTTACTTTTCATTGGAAAGCTGTTACAGCTGCAATTTCTTACTATGAGAATTTACATGTATTTCCCTTCTTAAAAATTCCTTCAGGGTTTCTTGGGCACTGGGGTTATAGGCCATTTTTTTTTTTCTTCACACCTTTACATATTTAAAAAGTTCTAATAAATGTTTACACATCTTGCCCATTGTCCCCGGAAAGTATCCCGATCTGTTATCCTTTTATGTCTCCACCTAGCTTCTCCAGTTCCTCTCCCAATACAGACTCACACCCACCCTCCCTCCAGCCTGCACACAATCCCTCTTCCTGCCACGTCCTCCCCAGTCCTTCCCAACCTCCTCTCGCCCTCTTCGAAAACTGTCAGGCAGAGACACTGTCCCTCTGTGGGTTCAAAATCACCCTAAGGAGCTGTCTGCTCCCGCCCCCTCGACGTGGATGGAGGTGGTCCCAGACCAGCCTTCCTCAGCAGCTCTGGGCAGGTCTCGGGGGTGGAGGGACTAAGTGAGGGGGGAGTGTGTGTCTTCGGGGGAGCAGGAGTCCAGGGCATTGCCTGGCCCTCGGCCTTCATTGCGCAGGACTCACGGAAGTCCAGGAGCTCCGCACCCGTCTCAGGAGAACGGGCGGGCGGAGCTCCACGCTCGGGGCAGGACCCTGCCCCGCCTCTGCACCACACCTAGGCGGCCACTCAGAGAGGCCCGAGACTTGCGACCTTTTCCCAGTTCTGTATTTGTCTCCCCTCCCTAAACACCAAGCTCCAGCAAGGCGGGATTTTTGTCCCTTTTGCTTAGGGCTGAGTGTCCAGGGCAGAGAATGGTGTCCGGTACACAGGACGAGGCGCCCGTCACCTCTTGATTAAACGCTGAGGGTCAGAGCTCCACAAAAGTTTGTGAAGTGGACAGGCAAGGGGGGCCCAGGCTTCTGCCCACCTGGTGGTTTCCAGGGGCGGACGGCGCGGTGGTTTGGGTGGGGCGCTGGCGGGTGGCACCTCGCAGACGGGAGTGCGGCATCGGTGGGGCCGAATCTGTTCCCCGGGCTGCCCGCCCACAGCCTAGACACGTCTCCTCTGGACTTCGGGGCAAGGACGGGGTACAGGGGACCACTCTGAGGGGTTCCCCACCTCGCCCTCGCCCGGCCCGGCCGCCCCCCCCCGGGTACCTTGGGGCACTTGTCGTAGTAGTGCTGCTGCGTGCGGATCCAGCGCCCCACCAGGTGGTCGCGCACCGTGTGTGCCAGCGCGAAGAAGTAGTCCCGGGGGGTGGCCACGTTGCGGTCCTTGACCAGCGTGAAGTGCAGGTGCCGGTTGAAGCCCTTCTTCAGCTCGGCCACGTTCTCCACGCCCACGATGCCGCGGATGCTGATCTGCCGCCGCTTCTCCTGGTCTGTCAGGGGCTTCGCCATGGCGGGGGCGGCGGGCTGCGCAGAGAGCGGGACGTGCGGCCCGAGGCGCGGGGCTGCCGGGCTGGGGTGGAGTCGGCTCCGCCGCGCCTGCCGCTTTCAAGGCGCACGAAAGTTTGGGGCCCGCCCCCTCGGCGCGGTGCCGCCCCCTCCGCGCTTCCCGAGCGTCCCTGCTCCTGCCCCAAGCCCGAGGGCCGAGGAGGTGCCCGGCTCCTCCCAGGGCTCCTCCGCCGCGGTGGGGTCGCGGGTGGGAGCCGAGGTCCGAGCGCAGGGGAGACCCCTGCCAGCCCAGGATCCGGGCTCGGAGGCTCCCTTCCGGATCTCCAAAATCTGCGGAGGCAGTATTTGTCCCGCCTCTCCCCTCTGGAGTCTGGAGACACAGGAGGACTTCTGTGTAGGGAAGCACGTCGTTTGCAGATGTATTTATTATGCCGTTATGACTGTTAGGATTTCTCACCTGGAGTGGCTTCCGCCGTAAGCGCCGGAATTTGGAAGGACAGCACGTTTGACTTCGGTTGTCCCAACCTCCCTTGCTTTGGCACCGCCCCAGCTTGGATCCTCAGGGCGGCTTCGTTGTTTT